ATTAACCAACACCTTCTCATGAGAGAATGATTTTAGAGTTTCAGTGAAGACTTTTATCATCTCTTCCTCCCTCCTAAAAGGATTGACTTGGGCGGCAACCAGAATTTCGACCAAACCAGTTAAGTGCTCCATACTAGCTTTCAAAATAGTCATCTCTCTACGGAGTTTAGAAACCTCTTGCTTGATATTCTCCATTGTCCTCTTAGCGCGAGTGTTGTACTGGTGAGACCAAAGGAAAAATAAGACTCGGAAAAAGACCTTTGAAAGTGAAACAAAAAAAAATGTAGAATGATGTATGATATGCAAAAGAGAGTTTTTATTTGATTTTCAAGGAACTCAAGATATTAAGTTGTAAACATCAAAGTATGAAGATAGAAGATGAATTTTAAATTGGCTCCAAACATTGATCAAGTTATCATCAAGATCAATCATCCATTTTGGTGGATTAGGGTTTTCGCCCTATCAACACCCAAGATCCATTGAGCTTGACGAAACTTGTGATGTTTACAAAGAAAGACCTCCAAATTCCTTCAAAGTCAAGTGAAAAGGGTTTTATGGATGCATGAATGCATGGCTACGCAACAATCACAAGCGAGGTCACAAATAAAGTCGAAAGGTTCAACGTCACGAGCATGGAGTCAGGGTAAGGAACACCCCCAAGGTATGTACTAATGGTTTAATCACACCTGTAGAACAAGGTTCTAAGAGTTCCCGGAGTCTACATTCCTCCTTCAGATATTACCGACGTCTTGATTACTCAATAATCAGCAATATTCTCAAGAGAAACTCATCCGAGTGTAGCATCGCGTAACAATTACTTCCGGATTACTCTGTTATAATCTCCGCGCTACACCTAAAAGGCCAAGATGGGTTATGGTTCTACGGTTCCCAGCTTCTCTGGCTCCCATGTCGAAAATAATAATGTCTTCCCGATTACTCGGTAAACAAATATTACGTTCAAAAGGGCCTTCCACTGAGTGGGGGATCTCATGCCTCCTTCTTCGGGATTACTCCCTCAAAGTTAACATGACTATACCGCCCGTCCTATTCCTAAGTGTAACTTAGTCCGGGTATAGGACTTGTCCTTTGTAAATATTATCAACACCCAAATAATCATAATATATACATATAATCAAACAATTAAATAATGATAAAACAGATAAAACAAATTAGGCTTAACCCACTTAGGGATGGACCAGCAAGAGGTCAATCTTTCCCCAGCAGAGTCGCCAATTCTGTAGCGGTGAAAATCGGAGATCAAGCTATTAATTAACTTGACTCACAAAAGCAAGAGTCGCCACCGCGCTTTATTATTTCCAAGGGAAAAGGGAAAAGTGCGAAATAAAACCCTAAAATATGCAATGTAAAATAATACTTAAAAGTAATGAAAATACAATGCGTTTTTAAAAGAGATCGAGAGTTCGGGGGTTGGTTATACAATGGGAAGGTATTAGCACCCAGTGCATCTGCGGTACTCCGCAGGAACCTTTTGAAATATCTGTTTTTGGTTAAAATTGTTTGTTTGATTAGAATGGTTCGTTTGGCTAAAAATCGGTGTTGGAGGGATTTTGAAAATGTGATAACCTAATGTCGAAGTTTTGGCTTAAAAGGTATGAGTTTGAAAATGGAGTCTTTTTGGGAAAATTATCTTAAATTTGGAAAAATAGTAAACAAGCAAAAAATGAATGAGGCTATTCGCACGATTGTAGAAGACGTATTCGATGACATGAAGTCAACTGAGTTGAGACATTTCCCTTGGAATAAAACAAAAATATAAGCATCAATAAATGGCAAAGTAAAATCAAATAGTCGGAAAGAAACAATTTAGCAACTAAATGGCCGACACACAAATATTAATTTAGTTAATTGAAATTATCTAATAAAGCTAATTAATAAAAAATTTAGATAAAACAAATAAAATGTATTAACAGAATTAAATATCAAAATAACAATAGTTAAAATAAAAGTGAAAACAAGATAGTAATAATAAAAATAAAATAGTAATAACAATAAAATTTGAAGGGACTATAAAACAGTAAACAAGGAGAAGGACAGATGGGCCGGAGTGAGGAAACATGATAAGGCCCAATTAAATCTTACTATCACAAAATTTCAAAGAAAAAAAACCTAGGGACTAATGGTATCAACCGCCGCCTGTCTTTGGGAATTGATTCAATAATAAATTTCAATTAATTCTTTTAATCATTAATTTAAATAAATCTCAATTTTAAGCAGGATTTGAAAATATAATCCACGCTTATCTCTTAATCTCACGACCATCTCTCTCTTTCAACTCTGTCATCTTTTCTTTGAACGCCGCCTCAATACTCTCTGTTCTCGCCCTCTCCTCAAACATCATCCCCTTCTTACTAACTTGCATCGCCGATGACCTACTCCGCCGCATACCCACCCCGTCCTGACTCTCTCTCGATTCACGCTTCACCTCTCTCGCCTTGAATAAACAGCAACAACACTACCACTTTTCCTCTCAGTTCTCTCAACCATTCTCACGATACGACCCGGAATAACGAAATCAACAACAACACAACAAATGGAAAACAACATCTTGAACAAGTGAAATTGGAAGCGGAAAATTACCTACGGCGAAGATATTTTCTCCGAAACTTGTAGAGGTATGAAGTAACTAGAATTTTGAGGTTTGTTGTCTGTGTTTGTAGGATGGATTTGAACTTGTTCTTTTTGATAAATGATTTTTAGAGGAAGAATTTGTAGATGCAATATTACAGGTATCACAAACAGTGGAAGAATGAAATTTTGAGCAATTTGACGAAGAAAGTGTGGACAGAGGGAGATCTGTGTTGGTTCGGAATCGCGACGAAAATACTGTAATACGAGGAATGGAGATGTTGTATGTTTGGTTGTGAGGGAGTCCGGTTGGATACGGTGATGGCGAGTGGAATGATGGAGGAAAGCAGTTGTTTGGGTTAAAGATGAAGGGTAGCTAGCGGAACGAGGTTGGATGCTGTAAGGGTTGTTTATGGTAAAGGTTATGATTGAGGGACGGCGATGCAAGGGTTTATGGGGAATCAGTGGCGGATTGGGTGTTATCATATCGGAAATGGAGAACTTGGTTGGTGTGTTGTCATTAGTGTCCCTGAGGAAATTCTATCAACAAAAATGGATTTCCATTCCAGATGGCTCTAATTAGATTTCCCTTTACAGATTTCCATCCCATCAAACCCCATCACCTTTGTTGTTTCATTTACCGGTGCTTACTTTCTTCATAGTCTCATACTAATCGCTCTCACTGCAATTCTTACTCATCTCCTAATACAAGACCAAAATCGAACCAAACTCAAAACCTGGCTTCAATGTCGATTAAACATTTCCTGCCACCTTAGATGTGCTAAGCTTTAGGGAAAGCTTTAGTAAGTTTTCTGCAATATTTTCTAACACTTTTTATTTTAATGTTTGGATTCTTGTTCTATTTCAGCTTTTAAATATGATGCTAGTAATGGGTTTACATATTCAAATATGGAAATGATGAAGGTTTAAGGCTTACCTACGAGACGGAGAATCGTATCGGTTATTGTTGAAACAAACTCTTCACGAATGCGTAGAAGAATACCAGAGGGAAATCTACATTAGGTACAAATTCTTCTTATAATTTCTTCGACTCCGGTTGTTGTTGTTTCAAAATTTTGTTTCAGTCTTTGTTGAAATTGCATTTTAGCTGTGAATTGTGTTGAACTGGTATTCTGTTACAGGCAGCTTGAAGATGATTATCGATGGTGTGAAGCTTTGAACTTTGATTTTCTTCCCACGACTACGAGTGTTGTTGTAACTCTGAGCATTAAGAGCTTGAAGAAAAGGAGCATCAACAAGAAACGGTTCTGAGACAGGGAAACATGGTGATAAGGTAAGATTTTGGTGAGTTCTCACATCTTGCTATGAATCTTTGTAGTTTTCATAAAGAGAGAGATTTAGAAGTTTTGGATCCCCCCGCTGTATTTGTTGAACAAGGTTGGCATATATCTTTTTTTGTTCCTGTTTTTTTTTCTGTTAACAAAGTTTGAGTTTTATAGAGAGAAAAAGGGATGAATTTTTGGGGGGAAAATGGTTGTAAAACATGAACAAATGCAGTGCCTCATTTTATCTCCTTTTGATGCAGTTTTTATTTTTCTATCTTTGTGAAAGTTTTGATAGATTTAGACTGTTTTTCCTGGACTGTTATGACAGGTTGGTAGCAAGTTTTGGAGCTATTGTGCAACAGATTTTTTGGACAGATTTTCTGCATGATAGCAACAAGTTGCAGACTATTTTTTGGACTGATATGCAGGGTTTAAAGCAGCATACAACAACAGTTTTTTTTTGGCATATTTCGGGAAAGTTTTGATATTTGTTTTTTGTCTACTGTTGCAGGGAAATTTAGAAATAGACAGCAGCATTGGACTGTTCCGAACAACAGCATAGCAGGGATAGTTTTTGAGTCTGGGCCTGGATTTTTCTGCGTATCAGAGATCAGTTTGTTTAAATCCATACACTGCTTCTTAAAAAAAGAAACCAGATTTGAGAAGTAATCTGTGTGAGGTGCACTAGTTATATATCTATTAACAGAGTGATCTCCAACATGGTAAACATTAAGGGTCACAGCACGCACAGCAGCGCAAATCATGTTCTCCTCATGAAAGGCAAAGCGTATCGCCTCAACATATAGTGGAAATGAAACTACTTCATCGTTGCGAGTCTTCACCAGCAAAGAAATAGTATTCTTGTTTAATTTCCCACCTATCGCTCTTCAATGATGACTTAAAAATGATATGTAATATGACAATAGCTCTTCATTGCGGAAATCAAATGAGTATGTAATTAGGAAGTTCATATGTTCATTACTAAGCATATAGTATATAGCATGTTCACTTTGAAGGTTTTGGATCATAATGCTAACAGTTTGTAGCAACTGAAGTGGAATACTAATAGTCCTGCTAAGTTTTAGAACACGTACAAAATCCCCCACAACTTGATTTTCCATGAAAAATTCAAAAAAAGCTTGGGTCGTGTTGGTCACCATATGTTATCAACTCCGCAATTGATCTCAGTGCCTCAATAACAAAATCCTTACTAACCTCATTAACTATTTGAACTTTTGTTAACTGACCAGCTAAGTACCTCAAAGCGACATTCGAACTGCTACCATTATTTAGCATGGTGATACTCTGTGGATGAAAACCTGAAGAACTAGGTGAGCATGGAACATTGACTACCAAGCCTTTTTTATTATTCTTGGTAAGATTATTATTATTATTATCTATCCCGTCGCCTTCAGAAGTAAAACCATTATCAGGTACCATTCCATTGACTTTACCCCCAAAACATTTTGTAAGGGACTCTAAGGGGTAATAAAGTGCAGCAACTATTGTATTTGCCAAATCTTTGATCTTGACTATCCTCAAGATGCAACAAAGTAAGTAGAGAGGAGTGACAACATCACTTTGTATATCCTGGTCAACATGATTAGCAGCCACTATCCTTAGAGAAGGAAGAAGTACTGGAAAAATCAGAAGCGTCAGAATGCTGTCTGTTATTAACCTTTCAACATCAGGAATTCCCGCAGAGATCACATCACTAAAGTAATATAGATTATCCTCAATTTCATCTACAGCAGCAGTAATGGTAGCCTTGATGACTCAGTCTTCGAGAATCCACAATCAACCGTACTTCGGGCTTGGGAGACTCAAAACCTTAATTGAGGTGCGACACCTGATGCTCTTGATTCAGACCTGTCTCTGCACATGACACAAAAGAAAACATGAACATACACTTTTGTATGCGATTAGAAATTAGTGATACATAGGCTCGAAATGTTCAAAACACTTGACAATCTTCGCATAGTCAAAGCTCGAAGGTGAGATGTTAAAACCGACCGTATTTCGTGACCTTGACTTATCTTAAAAATACAGAAACAAAAATGAGATCTTAGGTCAAAAATTGGGGTACAACAGTTGGCAATCTCCAAGATGTTCATGTGAAACTCATGAATGGTTTCATCTTCCATCATTTTTAGATTCTCAAACTTGGTAGTCAACATCTGAAGTCTTGACATTTTTACTTTGGAAGTGCCCTCATGGGTAGTTTTGAGAGTGTCCCAAACTTCCTTGGCCAGTTCATATTGATGTACTAGTCTGAATATGTTTCTATCAATTCCATTGAACAAGGCATTTAAAGCTTTGGAATTTCCCAGGGCTAACTCATCTTCTTCTTTACTCCAATCTTCCTCAGGCTTCAGACTGATTGTCCCATCTTTCTCAGATATGGTGGGATAGATCCATCCTTTGTCAGCAGCTCTCCAAGCCTTTTTGTCCAGAGATTTTAAGAAGGCAATCATACGAGGTTTCCAGTAGTCATAATTTGTTCCATCCAGAATGGGTGGTCTATTTCCAAAAACTCCTTCTTTGTCCATAGTGCCAGAAAGTGATATTCCTAGATCTCACCCAGTAATACAGGCAGGGTGCCTGCTCTGATGCCAATTGAAATTCTGGCTGCAGATACTCAATGTCACGTTCAATGTTATGACACCGTATCTGACTTTCTATAAGACAGTAAATACAAAAACAGTAAAGAACACAGTCAATTGTTTACCCAGTTCAGTGTACAACAACACCTACTCTGAGGGCTACCAAGCCAGGGAGGAAATCCACTATAAGAGATATTAATTCAGGAATAAACCAACCAGTTTATCTCCTTCACTTAAGACCTACCCAATGCAACTTCAATCTAAGTACAACTTAAACCTGAGTTCCTACTCACTCCCCCTCAATCACAGCAGTGATACATAAAACAATTTGACTAATGAATTGATGAAGACACTCTTCAAAACATACACTTGATTATGCTTCACAGCTTTTTAATCAAGCAACACAAACACTCTTGCTTCACAGCTTTGAGTGATACACAAACCTAACTTGACTTTGCTTCAAAGCTTTAGTCAAGAGACATACAAACACTCTTGCTTCAAAGCTTTGAGTGATACACAACCCTTACAATTAAAACCTATTCCAAGTCACTTATCACAATGATAATTGCTTGGATTACAATAGTTAAAACTATACAGCTTCTAAATGATCTTCTGTCCAAAAAGGGATACTTCCAAAATAGCAGCTCTGTTGAATATATAGCAGCTGCATCTTCAGTTAGGGTTTCCACAAAAAGCTAGGGTTAATTCCGTTTGACCTTAAGACTAGGTCACAGGACTTTATCAACCAGGTTAGGGTTGAGCTAGGTTAACCCCAAGTCCACGAGATTTTCTGTTCTGGAAAGACTGAGTCATAATCCTGAAAAAACTCAGAATTACCCAAACTGCATAACTGTTAGTTCAGAACAGGATGTCTTAACATTTGTTATGACATCTGAAAACCTGTCTACTGATTTAGGTAAATGTGATCTTTTTGCAAAATGCTCAGATACACACTTATAAACAGCAACACTTGTATGACAATATTTTTCTGCAAAGGTACCTAATGAATCAGTACATACAAAACTAGAATGTTATGACATCAGTCATAACATTCACACACACACTTGATTTTACCAAAAATACAAGCCAATAACTAAACAACTACAGGTAGATTATAGTTAATATTTTTCTCACAATTTTATGTATTATTGATAACTATATATCTATCATATAAGAAATAATATATTCTGGAAAAGTTTAAAAGACCCTTTTCTTTAAATGATCAAAGTATGTTTTTCTTTAAATGGCCAAGGTTTGTTTTTTTGTATCTCATAAAAAATTTTATTAGACAAATTTTGCTTTTAAATGTAAACTGATGTATTATAAATAATGGCCGAAATTTCTTTAATACAAAACAAACCATTTAGTTTCTAACGCTATGTATCTAACGAAATTTTTTTATAGGACAAACTTTACTGATCGAAATACACATCAAATTTATCATTATTAAAACTCTTTACAATATCTATCATATTTTTGTTTTTTTCTATTTTAAAATATAATATATCATCTAAAGTTATAACTACTATAACGTTTTAAAAGAAAATCAGTAATATTAAATTTTCTTTATAAAAAATGAAAACATAACAAAAATATTTTAATTATTTAAATGTGATTATGTTATAATATATAGTATATGTTATTAATTGCAATTTATATAAATTAAATCAATAATTATACAATTTTTTTTGGCACAAAATAATTATATATTTTAAAATTAAATAAACTTCAATAATAATGTGCCAAATGAAAAACGAAAGTTTAACACACATATATATATATATATATATATATATATATATATATATATATATATATATATATATATATATATATATATATATATATATATATATATATATATATATATATATATATATATATATATATATATATATATATATATATATATATATATATATATATATATATATATATATATATATATATATATATATATATATATATATATATATATATATATAAGTAATGTATGAATTAAATAGTATCAAAATTATATGATAATATAAAATATTCTTATTTATTTTATGATTACAAAATATGTTTTTTTATTTTATTTTAAATAAATTTTTTTAATTATACAACAATTTTATTTTTTATTTTATTTTCATTCTTATTACATTTCGAAAAGAACACATGCGCATCCTACTAAAACTATATTCATTCTTATTATGTTTTTTTCTATTTTCACTCTTATTACATTTTCACTATTTTCTCCAAGTTCTATATTTCTAAAATTTGAAAGGAGAAAAATAAAACTATTAATTAAAATATTGAAAATGAGGAAATTATAATTAATTCAAATATTTAATCAGTATTATTTTTATAAACGAGAACATATTTACTATTGATTCAAATATTTTTTAAAATAATATTAAAATAAAATAATATATTTATATACTGATAAAATATTTATTGTTTATTCAAATATTTTAATGACTTAATATATGATTTTTATTTTTCAATTTCAGATTTTTATTGTTATTAATACTGTGGATCTCATTTTTGGTGGCAAAATCCATTTGTTTATTTGGGTTTAGGGTGAAGTTGTGGCTCTTGATTTGCTGTGTTTTGTTGTAAATTTTTGAGATCTTTGTGATATATCTTGTGCGTATATTTCATTTTAATAAATTTTTTTCTTTCTAATATGCAAACTATATGAAATGAGAAAAATGAATTTATTGATAAAAAATAATAATAACGGGAATAAATTTACTATTGATTCAATTATTTTAGTAAATAATATCAAAATAAAAAAATATTTATAGACGAAAAATATATTGTTGATTCAATTATTTTAATATACGAAGAAAATTATAGACACCGATTTATTATCTTTTTTAAAATTAATAAATTTTTTGGTTAACAATTTTCTGTTTCTATTATTTCATTTTTATTACATTTTAAAAATAAAAGTGTGTATATCACACCAATACTCATGCGAACGAGTTCCATCATTTTAGGTACATTTAAAGAAAATATAAGTAAATATTTTAAAAATCATCTATGAATTCAAATACGGAAAAAATAAATTATTTTTTAATTTTTTATGTTATTAATATTTTTATTTCGAAATTATTTTTAATTTAAGATATAATATTTTTTTAGATAATATATAAAAAATTAAAATATATATTATTGATGTAAAGACATACATATCATACCAGTATCCGTATGAACATACAATTAACAAATCAGTAATTGTGAACGTGTTTGTTCTGGACTGGGCCCGTCCTGGCCCAAGAGCAAGAAAGAAGGCCCAATCCAAGCAACTCTTCAAAGAGCGCGCGCTCAAAGATTCCCGCCAGCGCGTCGACCAGAAGCTGCAGTCGTGCCCGCCGCTGCCCGCGAACATGACGTCCTCGACCACATGAAATCCAGCTCGAGCCCAGCTCGAGCACCCTCCTCGTAGGGCAGACTATGACCGTTATTCCATCACCTGAACTCTGGAAAGACCGCGTCCTCGTCCCTCCGTACTTCTCGCAGAGCATCACCAGGAAGGGGACCATGTGCGGGTCCCCACTACACACGTAGAACCTGGCAGTTCCTTTATTGGGCCATCCTGGTCGGCCCAATGAAGGGACCTTGGCCCCGCGCTGGGGGCTATAAATACACTATATTCCTAGAGGGTCAGGTATTCATTCTCTTACCCATACATACACTTTTTGCCTGCTCGTACCATCACTCATTTTAGCATCGGAGTGCCTTGCAGGTACCCTCCCCATCTCGTTCAACTTTCGCTCGGAGCCAGTCGTGACGGTCTAAGTCTGATCAGGTAAGATCAGTGGCGCCGTCTGTGGGAAACTAGCTTCCCCGTCTTGCAAAACCTCGAAGACCAAAGCTCAAATCACCTCCTACCGTCATGGCTGACCAAGTTCGTGATGACCAAAACGTCTGCGTCGTCGACACCAACAACGGCCTCACAGATAAAAATGGACACCCCGATAACATCGGTAACCCCGGTCATAACATACTCCCCGGGGGCGCCAACCCCGTGCCCTCAGTCCACCGCGACGAAGTTACTGCATCATCCTCTTCAGTCCCTCCGTCGCTCGAAGAAGACAACGCAGCTCCCACAAGCCATCGAGCTGCCCAATATCAGGAAGTCCTTGTCCCCGCCGGGGCAGATGCCACAACCCGCGCGCTGTTCGCGGCTGTTGTACCCCAAAATTTGCCCTCCCATATTCTTCAAAGTTTTGACAAGCATCATCTCAATTTGCTCAAGTCTACTCAAGGGTTGCACAGTTCAAACACCCTCC